TAAATTTAACAGTTTTTGAAAGACAATTGACATGATTTTTAAAGGACAGTGTAGGATCTAATACAACTCCAAGATATTTAAATTCGTTTACTATCTGTATTTCTTCTTGTTTTAAAAATATATTTGAACGTGTCATTTCAATTTGTCGCTTAGAAAACATTATACAAACAGTTTTTTTAGGATTCAATAGCAGACATGATTTTGTAAGCCACTCCTGTACACGAGTGAGTGCAGATGTAAGCGACTGAGAGGCGTCTTGAGCAGTTTTGGCGTGTGTAAAAATTACTGCATCGTCTGCATACATTAAAATATTGATGTTTTGGCATACTGTAGGCAGGTCGTTAATGTATAAGGAAAATAAAATTGGTGCAAGTACAGAGCCTTGAGGGACTCCTACTGAACATTCAAGGTGAGGAGATTTAATATTATTAACAGAGACACAGTACGTTCTGTTGGTTAAGTAGGAATTCATCCAGCTGATGGCTTGTTTGGAAAAATTGAAGTTTGTCAATCTAGACAAGAGCATTTGATGATTGACGGTATCAAATGCCCTTTTCAAATCCAAAAAAACAGCACCAACAACAGAGTGAGTGTCTAATGAGTGTTTGACCTTTTCAATAAGTACAGTAACAGCTGTTTCGGTCGAATGATGGGCACGGAAGCCAAATTGCATGGGATGCAGAGGAAAGCCACAAATATTTAAGTGCTTTACTAATTGTTTTACTATCCATTTTTCAATAATTTTAGATATAACAGGCAAAATACTGATTGGTCTATAATTTTTGATGTCTGATCTGCTCCCTGATTTAAAGATTGGTGTAATTGTGGCCATCTTCCAATCTGGTGGAACCACAGAGTGTTTAATAGATAGATTAATCATATGTGTAATAGGGCATACTAAAAACTGTTTGTGCAATTTAATGAAATTTGTGTCCAATCCAAACTCATCCTTAGCTCTGGAACTATTTAATTCATCAATGATGGAAGCCACATCTGGTTCTGTAATTTCTTCTATCCTGAATATAGGCTGCGCGTAATTAATAGGAGAAGAAACACTTTCAGATGGCATAAATAATTGAGCTATTTCTTGAACAGAGTTCTTAAAAAACAAGTTTAACTCAGATGCTAGGATGAGTGGATCTTTCACCAGTACATTATTAATTTTAAGTTCAGTTAATTTGTCTTGTTTATCATGTTTACCAGTTAGTTTATTAATACTTTGCCAGATTTTTTTCCCATTCCCTTTTGCACTATCAATAATATTCATAAAATAAATTGTTTTGGCCTTCCGCATTGTTTGTATAACTTTATTTCTAGCTGATGTAAATAGTTGTCTATCTGAGGTGAGGCCAGTGATGATGGTAAGATTTAACATATGAGGCACAAACATAAAAAATAAAAATAGCTTTGTTGCTATTTGGGATAACTAGATATTATTTGTTTCATAACACTCATTTTGAATTTGTCCAGTCAAATTACTTTACAAAAGTAAATCTTTTTTCTTTTTTACTTAAAATGAGATTTCAAACCAATTGTTTTCATGATTTGACCGGTAGAGGTTTTCTTGCTGTTTAATTTTAGACTCAACTGATGGGAAATCTCTGCCCAGCTGCCCCGAACATCACAAAGCCACAAGAAGGGAACACAGATTCTTCCGGCGGCTGACTATTAGTGAGATTTCTTAAGGTGCGTGACTTAATTTATTCTTAAATGGTTAATTCACTCACAAATGGGAATTCTGTCGTTTATTACTCGCCCTCATGTCGTTCCAAACATCTAAGACTTTTTCATCTTCACAACACAAATGAAGATATTTTTAATGAAATCTGAGAGCTTCCTGCCCCTCCACGTTCAAGCCCCAGAAAGGTATAAATGTACATCATTAACACCATGTGACTCCAGTGGTTTAACAAACTTTATTAAACTACGCAAGTGCTGCAAAAAAAAAAAAAAAAAAACATTTACCACTTAATTTATAAAATATTAATTTCCAACATGCATTCATGGGAACATTTCAACTCGTGCATATTGTTGATGCGAGAGCAGATGTTGCGTTAACGTGCATTGTAGATTGATATTTTGTAAATAAAGATGAGTTAAAATTGTCGTAAAAAAAGTTGTAAAATTGAGGTTAAACCACTGGAGTCACATGGAGTACTTATGATTTCCTTTATACCTTTTAATGGCTTTGGAAGTGATAGTTGAATAGGCTGTCGACAAAGGGATAAAGATTTAGATTTCATAAAAAATATCTTAAGTGTTCCGAAGATGAGCAAAACTCTTAACTGGTTTGGAACAACATAAGGGTGAATAATTAATGACAGAATTAAACATTTTTGGATGAATTAAGTCTTTAATTTACTTGGAAATCAGTAAATTCAAGTCTTAAAGGAATAGTTCACTTTTAAAATGAAAATTCTGTCATCATATACTCACCCTCAAGTTGTTTCTTTCCTCTGCTGAACACAATGGTAGATATTTTGAAGAATGTCAGTAACCAAACAGTTAACTGATCCCATTGACTTCCATAATAAGAAATAAAATATACTATGGAAGTCAATGGGACCAGTTAACTGTTTGGTTACTGACATTCTTCAAAATATATTCCATTGTGTTCAGCAGAAGAAATAAATTCATACAGGGTTGAAACAACTTGAGGGTGAGTAAATAATGACAGAATTTTCATTTTAAAGTGAACTATCCCTTTAATCTATCCAAAATAGTTTGTTGTTTGAGTCACGAAAGTCTAAGATGATTGATCTTTTTATCCACCATACACTTGCTGTAGTTATAAAATACAAATGGTATTAATTGTAATTGGTCTGGTTTTGTGTTGTCTAGGGAACCAGCACTCCAGGATTTTGAGAAAGTTGGATCTGCACAGCCTTTCCTGCTCTGTGAAACAACTATGCACTGAACTTTACTGTTAGCAACTGGACACAACTGATCCACTCATATCTTGCAAATGTTTTTCATCTGCTGAATGTTGTTGCTGTACTGTTGTTAAGTCGAAGGGACTGAATCAACTTCACTGACACAGGACTTACATTCACTGACATGTACAGGACTTGAAGTATTACAGACCATTTGATAAGCAGCTTTCATATAATTCTGATGACAGAAATGCCTATATTGTGCCTTCATTTATTTTAAAAGTTAACCTATGATGTAAAGGGGCTTGTTCGTTAATAAACTAGTTTGTTAAAACCACTGTTTGCATTTTGCCTTAATTTTTAACTTTACAATGAATACAGAATTCTACTATAATCCCAGACATAAGGTTACAATTTAACTTTCTGGATTGTTTTGAAATAAAGTTTTGAAAGAGTAATATATTTTGAGTGATGTGTTTAATTCAAAGTGAATTTATTCTTTTCAGATTACATGATTTGTCATCTTATTTTACATTTCTTTAAAGTAGGTAATGCAGAACCTTAATAAGAAAAACAGTGTTTATTTGTAAAAAGGTGTTCTATCAACACCAGGATGGGGTCAACACCAGAACAGTGTATTTTAAGTGCTCTGTAACAGTGTTGTTGTCTGCATTGGTGTTAATATTTTACACTCTTAGTGTTCACATTGTAACACTGTGTCGGTGTTGCGAGAGGCAACACTTTTGAAAGTGTTGAACTAACACTTTGTGGGTGGTTCCCAAATATACACTTTTAAAGTGTTGAAATTAACTCTATTGGTGTTGATTTCCGGGTTTCAAATTTACTGTGATCAAATTAGCAGTGAAATTGTAAATGGTTTTCAGCAACTATAGCAAACATTTCTTGGACAGGAAAAAGTTGAGCAATTCAGTAGAAAAGAAGAGGAAGTGTTTTCTGAATGTGTGAGAGTTCACATCCGTCCGCCTAAACTGGGTTCAGAGATGATGTTGTGTGTGTGTGTGTGTTTAACAGTGCGGTCAAACTAACCGAGTTCTCAACGCCAGCGATGACACGCTTCTGAAACACCATTACTGTGGACAGCAGGTTCGGTCCGACTACGGCATGATTGGTATCTTTGTTCTCGGTGTGACTCAAGAAATCTATCAAGACCAGTTTCATTACAAAAGGAAATATTTAAAGATATTATTATTTTTTACATTTCATTCTATATTTTTGACCGTATCTTCAGAACATGGTGCCGATGACACACACTGACTTTCATAATGACACACACAACCGCCTCTTAAAGCTTCTCTGAAGTGCTTTAAACAGCTCAGCCTGTGTCACAGGGAAAGGGAAAATCACTGGCGTTTGGTGTTTGTAGTGTTGATAAAGGAGTCTGGATCTGATCTATTTCTCAGGGCTGAAGAGAGTAAAGCAGAACATTATAATCCATGTGTAGAAACTCATTAAACGTTAGCGAAGGTTTGTTTATTCTTTAAACTCTGATTATATTTTATCCGCTCAGATCAGGAAAATATATCACTTCGAGTTCCTCACCAGGTCTCCGGCACAATCTCGTCAGTTTCCGATTATCAAAACAGAGGTAATTGGCTGAATGCCTGGGATTTGCCGTAATTCACACGTACATAATCGAAGACATACACAGCCCCCTTGAATGCCACCTCAGGAACTTAATTCAATAACTTACTTTAGTAGCGTGCACTTATCTAAAGTAACATTAAATTAGAACAGAGGTATTTAGACGTACCCAAATCTAGATCAAACAGCATTAGCTGATTCTAGACGGAAACTACCCGTCTCCTCATTCAAGTACACTTGAATCTGATATCAGATATTAGTCGTCACTAAACTCTGACGCAAACTTGTGGAAATATACGAATCCGATAATCTACTCGGGGGAAAACAATTCTCAGAGTCGGTTAGAACACACACACACGCACACACACACACACACACACACACACACGTAGAGCAACACTTGTTGATGATGTTTAAAGGAGGAGCTGTAACTATATATAATGAAGAAGGTGTTCGTGAGACATAGCTCTTGTTGAGCAAAGAAGTTAAGCAGGAGGTCTCCGTTGGTGTTCTTCAGAAACAGAAATGGCTGATAAGTGTGATCTGTGTCTGCTGGGACTGATCGTTCTCTCTTCACTTCTCACAGGTAAAGAAATCTGTATTTTCTCTAAACACATTTAGTGGAATTAGTCTGGAAAGAGTTCATTTGAACATGCTCAGTTTATTCTTGCACACATTCACGCTGTGATCTCAGAGTTGTGTATTGATACACACAGATCATACTGTATTATTCCTGATACTGGACATAGTGTCACTCAAACATCTGATGATGAAGAATGATCTTCATATTAAGAGTGTGTCAGTGATTTGAACAGCTCTCTGATAAACACTAATAGTTTATTCTGGAGAGTGTGTTGTTTGCTTTAAGTGAGTGTTACGACCCTTCACGGATTTTAAAAGTCTAGGGAATTAGAAGGGGAACATTAGGCCTCCCATTAGCAATTGTTACCATTAAATACTGAGAGAGTGAATAAGACCACCGAGAAACAGCAGGAGAACAGGGGAACAAATGTATTATGTGCAATGATAAGAAAGAAGAAAAATGAAGCGATCTGGGGAGGAAAAAGGGAAAACTGGACGGTGCCAACACAAAGAAAAATAATTAAACAAAAAGGATATTTCTCACTCGTTTCAACTAACCCTACCTAATACAAAAGAAAAATGTAGAAAGAAAAGTCTTCAACATCCAAGACGTCATACACTTCCCTACTCTATCTATCAAAAGAAAAATGTAGAAAGAAAAGTCTTCAACATTCGAGATGTAAGGGTGGATTTTCTGCAGGGGTTCAGGCTGCAAGACTGCCGAATGACTAAAGAAACGTTATTAGCAAGATGGTAGAAAACTGTACATTTCTTGTCTATTCCACCCACTGCCACTTATACCAACGACGGAAATAAGCGCAGTAACAATAGCTTCATATGTGGGAGAGCGTTGCTATAGAGAGTGACAGTATTGTATTGCAATAGATAGCACATAAAAGTCAATACCAAATCAAAACTATTTAGCACATTAGTTGTAATTGAAAAGGTTTAATAACAAAAAATGGTTATGGTTACACTTAAAATAGTTACAAAATAGATGTATGAGATGATGATAACTTATACCAATAATCTTACCTAGCATGTCAAATATTACCAGAGAGAGAGAGAGAGAGAGAGAGAGAGAGAGAGAGAGAGAGAGAGAGAGAGAGAGAGAGAGAGAGAGAGAGAAAAGAGGAGGCAAAGGGAGAGAGCCAGAGCATTAAAAAAGACAGAGCAACAGTTACAGTCTTCTTTTATCCTTTCCCTGACCATGTGACTAAAACCCAAATGTGAGACATTCAAACTGACCAATCAGATAATTACACTTCCCCCATTGTTCTAAAGGTGTGACAATTCATAGACCCCCAAAGTACACAAATCTTGGCCTACAGGCCTTGATCACTATCAGCCGCTCTGTGTCTTTGGGAACTCCAAATGGTCCTTGTGGTTGAAAGAAGGGGTGGAACACAGTAAAGCATGTGTCTTTGTTAATTTCAAATGTCTTGGATTATTTTCAATCCTACAGAGACGTCATACACTTCCCTACTCTATCTATCAAAAGAAAAATGACAGCGAATGGCACATGCCCCTAAACAGAGATGGGCAGTATTTTAATTATGTATTTGAAATACGTATTTAATTACTTTTGAGTATTTTGTCATTTGTATTTTCCTTAACAAAAATAAATGAAATGTAATTTGTAATTTAATACTTAGAGAGACTGTAATTTGTATTTAAAATACTTCAAATACTAAAATTCACATATATTAACTTTCATCACCAGACTTAAAGGGATAGTTCACCCAATAATGAAAATTATTATGATGCACTTTTATGATGGACAGATGCACTTTTATGATGGACAGATGCACTTTTATGATGGACAGATGCACTTTTATGATGGACAGATGCACTTTTATCATGGATGGATGCACTTTTATGATGGATAGATGCACTTTTATGATGGACAGATGCACTTTTATGATGGACAGATGCACTTGTATGATGGATAGATGCACTTTTATGATGGACAGATGCACTTTTATGATGGACAGATGCACTTTTATGATGGATAGATGCACTTTTATGATGGACAGATGCACTTTTATGATGGACAGATGCACTTTTATGATGGATAGATGCACTTTTATGATGGACGGATGCACTTTTATGATGGATAGATGCACTTTTATGATAGATAGATGCACTTTTATGATGGACAGATGCACTTTTATGATGGATAGATGCACTTTTATGATGGATAGATGCACTTTTATGATGGATAGATGCACTTTTATGATGGACAGATGCACTTTTATGATGGATAGATGCACTTTTATGATGGACAGATGCACTTTTATGATGGACAGATGCACTTTTATGATGGACAGATGCACTTTTATGATGGATAGATGCACTTTTATGATGGACAGATGCACTTTTATGATGGATAGATGCACTTTTATGATGGATAGATGCACTTTTATGATGGACAGATGCACTTTTATGATGGATAGATGCACTTTTATGATGGATAGATGCACTTTTATGATGGACAGATGCACTTTTATGATGGATAGATGCACTTTTATGATGGATAGATGCACTTTTATCATGGACAGATGCACTTTTATGATGGATAGATGCACTTTTATCATGGACAGATGCACTTTTATGATGGACAGATGCACTTTTATGATGGACAGATGCACTTTTATGATGGACAGATGCACTTTTATGATGGATAGATGCACTTTTATGATGGACAGATGCACTTTATGATGGATAGATGCACTTTTATGATGGACAGATGCACTTTTATGATGGATAGATGCACTTTTATGATGGACAGATGCACTTTTATGATGGACAGATGCACTTTTATGATGGATAGATGCACTTTTATGATGGACAGATGCACTTTTATGATGGATATATGCACTTTTATGATGGATAGATGCACTTTTATGATGGACAGATGCACTTTTATGATGGACAGATGGACTTTTATGATGGATATATGCACTTTTATGATGGACAGATGCACTTTTATGATGGATAGATGCACTTTTATGATGGACAGATGCACTTTTATGATGGATAGATGCACTTTTATGATGGATAGATGCACTTTTTTGATGGATAGATGCACTTTTATGATGGATATATGCACTTTTATGATGGACAGATGCACTTTATGATGGATAGATGCACTTTTATGATGGACAGATGCACTTTTATGATGGATAGATGCACTTTTATGATGGATAGATGCACTTTTTTGATGGATAGATGCACTTTTATGATGGATAGATGCACTTTTATCACTTGATCTGACACATCCTATTGACCCTGTTCACATTTCCGGGTTTCTCAGAAGTGGAAGGCGTCATAGTTGGGTAAACTTTTATAGCAGTGAATGAGAGACTACATTAAATATATTTTTTGTGTTCCCAATTGCTCAAATAGCAAAAGAAAAACGCCACAACAGTGTTTTCACAACTTTCAAAAAGAGTAAAAAAAAAATAGATAGATTGATAATGGCAGTCGGAAGAGAGAAAGATGTCAACTTTGTCACAGACGGGGTATTAGAAACCTCCTCACAGCAGCGTTAACTAGTTTTTGTGTAATATTATACAAATAAGTATTATAGGCGTAATGATCTTTTATTATGAGAGTTTGTGGCAACATGTACGTTAAAAGTGCATCTTCTGCACTAAACGATGATATTCCGATATTCTCTACTCTGACATGTATCTAACTCCACACTTACTCTCACACTACACAAGACTCTACAGTTTGTTTGTATTTTCAAATTACAAATTACAAATTACTTCCATTTTAATTAAATACTTTTTTCACAGCAGTATTTTGTATTTTATTTAAATACATTTGATAAGTAAGTATTTGTAATTTGTAATTAAATACTTTTTGATGTATTTGTGCCCATCTCTGGCCCTAAACCTAAACTCTAAACTAAATAAATGAGAACTAAGTGTGTCCGATGTACGTCACGTGACATAACTTCCCTTTTCCTCTATCCAGCGTTACCGCTCTCTAATACTCAATAATAAAGGAAAGTAAAGTAATTTGGTTTCACATGATAATCTTAACACACTAACAAAGCTTATAAGTAATAACCAAATAAAGTACAAATAAATGAAACCGGAGCAGGTATTGTTTTTCAAGGTTATAACTCTGTACTAATAAAGCCCAACGCATCAGCCGTTGATTAGCATTATACATACGGGAAAGTAAAACAAGGGAGTTGTGATCGCTATAGACAATAGTGGGCCGGATGGAAGAGCCTAAGGAAACTTCACAGAACTGCAAGAAAAACAACAACGCCAAAGTTTCCTTTTCAACTGTCGAGTAATTCCCTTGATGTTTATCAGACTTACGGGAGAAAAAGCACTGATGGTCCACATCCTCGCCGTCTAGAAGCAAAACTGCTCCAGTAACTCCATGTATCCGCGCTCGCATCAACTTACAACTCAAAGAGCGATCGAACTCAGAGCAGCCGAAACTGGGGCTTTACAACAGAGCTTTAACACTCTCAGATGCAGTCGAGAGCAACAGTGAGGAAAATATCATGATTTAACTTCTGTTTTTATCATAATGATCACTGAGATATACTGTGTTTCAGGCACCAGTGTAGCGGATCGAGTGTTCATCAGTTCTGGTGTAAATGTCTCTCTGTCCTGTAATAATGCTCTTTCTGACTGCAAATCAACATCATGGATCTACTCTAACAGCTTGAGAGATTCAGCAGGAGTTGAACTGATTACTGGAGGGATAAAGAATAAAGACACAGAGAGACATGAGAGACTGAGTCTGGAGTCTGACTGCTCTCTGAACATCAAGAACGTCACAGGAGAAGATTATGGATATTACAGCTGCCGACGATATGAGAATGGAGAACAACAAGGAACTGGTGCACGTGTTTATCTGCATGTTCTTCATGGTGAGTTTATGATTATGTGGTCAATTTAAAAAGGACAGATTCTCCCTTTAAACTCAGATGATGATCGAAGAGTCTGTGATTTGTGTTCAGTTTCAGTGTCTTCATCATCATCTTCATCCTCACAGACTGAGATCAGTCCAGGCCGCTCTGTGACTCTCTCCTGTCAGTTGTATTCAGTCTCCTGTGATTATTTGGTCCGTTATGTGGGAGTTGAGCTGTTGTGGGTGAATCAGGCTGGTGTTGATCTGAAGACAGACTCCAGATATCAGATATTATCATCATCATCATCATCATCATCATATCCATCATCTCCAGATCACTGTCTCATCACTCTGACTACAACACTCCTGAATGAAGATGCCAACAGAGAGTGGAGATGTCAGCTTACTCAGAGAAAGCAACTCCAGACCTCAGTCAGATACACTGTCAAGTATTCAGGTGAGAAAACAGTGTTAGAAGAGCCTCATAATGTCAGGAACACTGAGGTCTATCAGTATCACTGAACCAGAACAAACTGAGGGAACAAAAGCTTCTCTGACTCTCACAGAAGAGGAACTCAAAGCATTGCTTCAAACTAATGAACTGCAGTGAAGTAACAGTCCAACTGTTCACTCTTTATGTGATGTGATGATCAAAGTTAGAATATGATGGTCATATTGTACAGTATTAATCATCTGAACTAACATTGATCTTCACAGCTCAAGCTGATTCAACGACAGCAGTGAATCCAGTCCACATCACACACTCTCAGGATCCCTCAACTATAAACACACACGTTTCTAAAGGTACATCATCACTGTCTTTCTCACATCAGTGCTTTTCAGTGCGTAATGCTAGAGTTATCTTCAGTGTTCACTCATCAACATATGACGGTCATATTCTACAGGATGATTGTCACATTGAGTTGTTGTTTTAGTTTCATTTCATGGACTTTTATGGTGTGTGTAATTAGCGCACTTATGCATATTCAATGACATGTTCAGTATAAACAGTGAGAGTCGTGTGTTAAGTCAAGTCATCCTCATTTATATAGCGCTTTTAACAATGTAGATTGCCTCAAAGCAGTCCAATATGCAGCTGATTATAAATTATACATTTGTTTTACAAATCATTATATAGGCCTGTATGCATGCTTGGGCTGTTGGAGAAAATATATGTAAAAAGTATCAAAATAAGTCCAATATCATACTATATAGAGTTGTCTGGTGTGACATGCTTCATGCCGCAATGCATGCTGGGAACCATGAGTTTTATACTATGGCTGTCTCCCAGCATGCATCGCGGCATGAAGCAAGTCACTATTGTTGAGATTCATATGTTGATTCTTGACATCTGCGTGTGTCTAAAAATCCTGTAATGTATTTAAAAATCAAAATTCAGAATGTGTAACGGGGCGAACAAGACAGGTATGGCAGAGGCATGACACAGAGTAATCCTTAGGGCAAGCGTGGGTAGACGATCGGCGAACAATATCCAACGGGGGCAAGGCAAAGACAGATAATCCAGGGAAACAGCAAAAATCCAAACGAGGTACAAACAGAGTCCAAAGGGCTAGGCTTAGGGTGAATCCAGGACACAGGCAAGAATCAGAACACAGGGAAACATAAAGGACAAGGCAAGACTAAGATCACTAGGGATGGCTGACACGAAACAGTCGTTCCGAAGCTTTGCGAGATCCCGAAGCGCAGATGTTTCGAAACACTGATCCGAAGCGTGATTCAAAACACCCATGTCACGTGACTATGGCCAAACGAAGCCTCGAAGTGTTTCAATGTTTCATCAGGTGTGATCTGCTGAATCAGCGTTTGATTGACACGGTCGGGAACAGACCACACAATCGCACATCTGTATAAAAGTGAAATCAACGCATATTGACCTCGTGGGTTTTTGTGAGAGGAGTTTGATTTTGAGATAGCGGATTTTGGTGATATAGTGACATAGTGCGATTTGATTAGTTATAGGCTATTTAGGCTTACATTTAAATTTACACAACACATTGAATCGAGCAAGGCGAGCATTTGTGCTTATAAAACTTCAACTTTTTTATTTATTTTTGAAATGACTGATCATTTCGCTAGATTAGACCCTTATTCATCGTCTGGTATCGTTTAAAGCCCTTTGAAGCTGCACTGAAACTGTCATTTGGACCTTGAACCGTTTGGGTCCCATTTTAGTGCATTATGTGGAGAAAAATCCTGGAATGTTTTCATAAAAAACCTTAATTTCTTTTCTACTGAAGAAAGAAAGACATGGTTCCCTTTCGTTGTCACTCCGAGTTCCGTCGGATGACGACGAATGGGGGTTTCGCTTAGAAAGCCAATCGACTTCGAGTACTACAAAACGAGCCAATGGCAAAGAAATGTCATGGGTCTGCGGAATTTGCATAGCGTAGCACCGCCCCACCTCGTGGGTATTTAAGGAGCTCGCTGGCAGCAAACCGGCATGTTTTCGCTTCGGAGCCAAGGTGATCCTTCGCTCCACAAGCCATTCCTGTACTGTCAGTTCTGCAGACGAGCGAGATTCTCTGGTGTTGGTGTGACGGCGATCTCCGGCGAGGACGCGCTTCCTGCTTTTCTGTCCGTGATTCGACAGCGAGTGTGTTTCTCCCCGGGCGCTTCAACACAGTCAGAGTTTCTTTTTCTCACAAAAGAGCTTGCACGCGGCACGTCTTTTTAAAGATGCCTCGCCCGTGCACTTCTGGTTGCGGTAGACTCGTTGATGACTCTGATGGGCACGAGTGGTGCATAGTGTGTTTGGGCGTTTATCACGCTAGAGCAGCACTCGTGGATGACTCATGTTCTCTCTGTGGGAACATGACCATCGCAGCATTACGATCAAGACTCGGTGATCTCGCAAGAGTGAGGGTCCCCTCATCCACACCCCGATCTACTGACTCTAGAAATAGAGCTAGTACTTCGGCTGGTGGCCAGGGTGATCTGAGGATGACGGTTTGGAACAAAGCGCCGACTATCAGTCCGTGCCCAGCCGCATCCTCTCCAGTGCTGCAACCCGTGAGTGTTCGGGGGATTCCGGCGGGATCATCTTCGGGTGTCCCGCGGGTTTCCTTTGACGCTCCAGAGGATGACGCGATGTCTATCGCAGCATCACAAGGTGGGTCTGAGTCTTCTGGAAGTGAAGACTCATCACAGCTGCCACCTTCGGGTGTGAATACAGTTGTGCTAGAGTCTGATCCAGAGATGACGGCCATGCTGTCTCGAGCCGCCGCGAGCATCGGGTTAGAGTGGAACCCTCCGCCCTGCCCCGAGCGCTCGCGGCTGGATGACTGGTATTTGGGTCAGGCTGCGGACCCCCGTCCGCGTCAGGCCCCGATACCTTTCTTCCCGGACGTGCATGATGAGATCTCGAAGTCCTGGAAGACTCCCATGTCTTCCCGTGACCGCTCGCTGATTTCATCCGCCTTTCCTCCCCTCGATGAGGCCGCTGCCCGTGGGTACACTGGGCTCCCCCCGGTTGAACGCTCTGTTGCGATGCAACTGTGTCCTCAGAGCGCTTCTTCTCGTGGTGAGCCTAAGCACCCATCCAAAGCCTGTATGTACTCGTCTGCGTTAGTGGCGAAGTCCTACAGAGCTGCGGGACAGGCAGCCGCCTCTTTGCATGCCATGGCCATTCTGCAGGTCTACCAGGCCCAGATGCTCAGGGACATGCACGAGGGCAGGACAGACCCGGGGCTCTTCAATGAGCTGCGCGCCGCCACCGACCTTGCTCTCCGAGCGACGAAGGTGACCGCACGCTCCCTGGGTTTGGTGATGTCCACAGCCGTGGTCCAGGAGAGACACCTCTGGCTTAATCTTGCTGATGTGGAGGATGCCGAGCGGTCCCGGCTGCTCGACACCCCCATATCGCAAGATGGCCTTTTCGGCGGTGCAGTCGAGGATTTTGCCCAACAGTTCTCGACTGCCCAGAAACAGACTGAGGCTATTAAGCACATTCTGCCCCGACGGCCCGCTGCTGCCTCCACTCAGCCGACCGGGCAGAATACTCAGTCTGTTTCCCGCCGAGGGCGCCCTCCTACGGCTCCCACCCCTCCCGCCCGGCCCAAGCAGCAGCCTTCACCCGGGCCCGGTCGCGGAGGAGGCCGTAGGAAGGCGCCCCAGCCCTCTCCAGTCCCGCCCCCCGCTAAATGCCGGGTCAAGCGGCGCTCCTGAGACGGGCTGCTCAGGGATGATGTACACTTCTCAGGAGGTGGTAGCAGGACCACTCCTTCCCCCGGTGGAGGGCCGGGGGAGAATCTTGAGAGAAGTGACACATTCATCCCTGAGAATACAGAGTTCTTGGACGACACGGTGCGCCGCCCCCGGGCCGTGCACCCCTCGTCCTCCTCTGTCCCAGAGCCGGATGACAGTGCGCGCTGTCCCCGGACCGTGCCGCTCTCATCCCCCTCTGTCGCCAGACCCCTGGCAGAGCAGACCCCCGTGGAACGTTCGTCCTTCCCTGGTCTCCTCTGTCAGGGCGCGGTTCATGACTGCACCCCCACATCGGGCCGCTATGCCGTCCACGTCTGGGTCAGTCATACCGCCTCGCTGCCCCACCGACGGGAAGTCTGTGGTTCGCATGACCCCGCTGGTTCAGTCCTTGGGAGCCTGGCTAGAGCTTCCCAACCTGTCCCGCTGGGTCGCACGAACGATCAGGCTCGGCTACGCGATTCAGTTCGCACGGTCTCCTCCCCGCTTCAGGGGAGTCCGCTCCACTTTGGTCGGTGGCAATGCCCCTATCATGAGAGCGGAGGTTGCTACCCTGCTGGCGAAGGGTGCGATCGAGACTGTCCCTCCAGCCGAAATGAAGACCGGCTTCTACAGCCCGTATTTCATTGTCCCGAAGAAAACCGGTGGGTTACGGCCAATCCTGGACCTGCGCGTTCTGAACCGCTCCCTTCACAGGCTGCCGTTCAAGATGCTCACCGCCAAACGCGTTTTCGAATGTGTGCGGCACCAGGATTGGTTTGCAGCGATCGACCTGAAGGACGCCTACTTTCATGTCTCCATTCTCCCTCGACACAGACCGTTCCTTCGGTTTGCTTTCGAGGGTCAGGCATATCAGTACGCAGTTCTCCCATTCGGGCTAGCCCTGTCCCCTCGCGTCTTTACGAAGGTCGTCGAGGCAGCCCTTGTTCCCCTCCGGGAACACGGGGTTCGCATTCTGAACTATCTCGACGACTGGCTGATTCTAGCTCACTCTCGAGATCAGCTTTGCGAACACAGGGACTTGGTACTCCGCCATGTAGCCCGTTTGGGCCTTCGGGTCAACTGGGAGAAGAGCAAACTTTGCCCCGCGCAGAGGATCTCTTTTCTCGGTATGGAGATCGACTCGGTCGCCATGTCCGCGCAGCTTACGAGCGAGCGCGCGCAGTCACTGCTGACTTGCCTGAGACAGTTCGAGGGCAAGAGTGCGGTTCCACTGAAACTTTTTCAGAGGCTCCTGGGGCATATGGCATCTGCAGCCGCGGCAACGCCGCTCGGATTGCTTCATATGAGACCGCTTCAGCTTTGGCTTCGCGACCGAGTCCCGAGGTGGGCATGGCAACACGGCACGCTCCGAGTACCAGTTACTCCGACCTGCCGTCAGACCTTCACCCCGTGGGGGAACCTCAGCTTTCTACGGGCAGGAGTGCCTCTGGAACGAGCTTCTCGGCATGTTGTTGTAACGACAGATGCCTCCACCACGGGCTGGGGTGCCATGTGCAATGGACGTGCTGCCGCGGGCTCCTGGATAGGACCCCACCGCTTATGGCACATCAATTGCCTCGAGTTGCTGGCTGTACAGCTCG